CTGCCCCCCGAGGAGCTTCACTTGCGGGTAGATTGGTGCTCCGTGGAGACCCCGCCCGGCGCCGAGCAGTAGCCCCAGCCTTGGAGTGGGCCAACAGCCTCTGGCAGAGCCTCACTGAGCCCAAGAGCAGCCCGAGCGGGTCTGTGCCGACCCAATTCGTCAGCTTTACAGGTCTTCAAAGACCAGCCCTCGGCAAAAGTATTGGCTTGCTGCATGTTTCTGGGGCCTGCTGGACAGGGGGTCGGCTCGTCGAGTCGGGGTACTTGCGCGGGGGGGAGTGTCCGCTTTATGGAAGGCCTGATTCCCTGATCCACAGGCAGTGGCTTTGCGAGGCCGACGAGGCCCGCCAGCTTCGGATCGATTGTTTAGGCGAGGAGGTGGCATGTGAAGCCCGCGGCGAGCTAGGTGAGGACCACCTCTTCGGGTCTCGCCCGATCGTCGCCCAGCCGCCCGACACCCCTGCCCCCTCCCGGGACCTCGACCCTGTCCTCCAAGATGCCGACGGCGGGGCGATAGATCTAGATCGATTCCTCGAGCTGATCCGAGGTTGCGAGGTTGCGGTCGACGGCTCTGCGACCCAGCTCACCACTAAAGAATGCAATCGGGCGGCATGCGTCGCCGTGCACATGGCCCCTGGGGACGAGTATGAAATCCGCGCTCGAATCCTGGGAACCGTTTGGCCGATTTTGTTTCAAACACCTCAGGCTGCAGAACACCTCGGGCTCGCGACTTTGAGTGCCCTTGTAGACGATCATAGCCTGCCTCGCAGTGACTGTTCGGGGGCGGCCCGTCCGCAGAATAGCAGCCCAAGGGAACGCTTGTGTCCTAAGCAAGTTCTTGCGGGCTTGAGGCCTATGGCTACTGAGCGTGACCCTGATAAGTTTCTCGAGCAGGCGCAGCGCACTCAGGCCCATCGCAGTGGCGGGGTAATAGAGGCTTTGCCAGTTTTGGAGCGCCGAATTGCATGCCCATCGCCATGCATCCAGGTGCACCTCCAGATGCAATCGAGGCCCTGGATTTGATCATTTTTCGCACTAAGTCCATAGCTAGCAAGTTTTCCGCTGTTCTCTCCTGCTACCCCAAACTCGAGTTCTGCCGTGCGCCCAGAGGACTCCGACCCAGGGTGATCAGAGATCCGAGCTGGCACTGCTGGCTTGAGGTGGAACCTGGGGTGGCGTGGAGGTGCAGAAGTTGTTTCGCCGGTGTGCATGGGGCCGACCGTCCGATAATGGGTTGTCAAGGCCTCCCCACGGCCATCCAGAAGCTTCGCTGAGCAAAACTGCGAGGCCATAAGCTCGGTGTTTCTATGATTCAGGATGCACAGTGCCTGCTTCTCGTGTTTTGTCTCAGGTGCGGGGCGTGCTCCAGTCAACGGTGCGTGCGCCTCGCGGGTGATTGCCCCCCCCAGATCTCAAAGAGTGGGGAGCAAACTTCGTATCGAATTCGTCGTGGTCTTCATCCCCACTGCTCGAGTGGGGTGGCGGTCGGGCCCGCCTGTCGTCTTTCCGCCACGATTTTGCTCGAGGCTGCCGCTGCGTCGACATCGACGGCGAGCTGTTCGAGAACCAGGCTCATCCCGACCTCGGGGATGTTGGCGCTCGCCGAGCGCATCAAGGCACGGGGGCTGGCGGCCAAAGAGTCCTCTTGCTGATGCTGCTGCTGGTTTGCGTTTTCCCGTTACGTTCTGCCTCGGGGCCTTCGAGGGACAAAGTCCTTCTTCTCCTCCTCCTCCTTCTCCTCCTCGTCGTCGTCATCCTCCACCTCGTCCTCTTCCTTATTCCTCCTCCTTCTCCTGCTCCTCCTTCCCTCCTCGAGCAGCAGGAAGGTGCAGAAGCATGTAGAAGCATTCCGCTTCTGGAGGTCCGCTGGGTTGGCGCTGGGCCCCGGCGGCGCCGCGCCGCCCCCGGCGCGCTTCCCGCGCCAGGGAGCGGGGCCCAGCGCCGACCCGAGAAATCCGCGTGGACCTCTGAAAATTTATGTTTACGCAGAGGCTGTTCCTCCATCGATCCTCCCCCCCCCTCCCGCTCCTCGAGAGGTGCAAGCAGCAGCCGTCGCAAGTGCAGCGCCGATGATTCTTGATGATGGTGATGCTGTTGCTTCTGAGCTCCAATGCCTCAGGGGTATCTATTGTTGATCCCCTCTCACTGGCGCCCACTGTGCTTTCAGCTGAAGTGATCCCCCCCCCAGGGCTCGCACCCTGTTTTTCATCAGGGAAGGTTTTGATGTTCAATATGCGTTGTTCGCCCGAGGGCTACAACAACATATTCCGCTTGAGACGTCCTCAGATTTGATTTTTGCGCGGTGAGAAGTTACGCAGGAACCGCGCTCCCGCGCAGGAGATCCCCGCAACTTCCTCAGGTGCCGCGCCCTAGGCGCCCTGGAGTCGCGCTCTCGCACGAGGTCTCCTTCTTCACAGTTTACTCAGGGCCCGTGCTCTCGCCTGAGGCTTCTCTGCGCTGGGCAAAGTTCGCTTCGGTTCCCCGCCCGCCCGACCCGCCTGTTCAGGCCCGCCCTCCCGACCTGCCTGTTAGATTCCGCCCGCCCGCCCGTTCGGTTCCGCCCGTTCGCCTGCTTGAAGCCCGCCCGCCCGCTTCAGTGGCCCGCCCGACCCGCTGGCCAGGGCCCGCCCGCCCGACCCGCCCGTCACGCTCGCCGGGGCCCGCCCGCCCGACCCGCCCGCGAATGTCCGCCCACCGGGCGGAGTCCGTGAGGATCCGCTCGCCCGACCTACCTGTCAGGGTCCGCCCGTCCGCTTGCCTGCGAGCTTTCCCGCACACCCGCATGCCCCGCCCGCGTGCCCCGACCAGCCCTTTGAGGGGCCGCCCGCGCGACCCGTCCGTTGGGGCCCGCCCGCCCGGCCCGGCCGTCGGGGCCCGCTTCCCCCTCCTGCTACGTCTTCCCCGCCATCAGTGATCTTCCCGCCCGTTTGCCT